TGAGTACAAAAGAAAAAAAATTCAAACGCCTAGTAAATGCAATGCGCTATAAAAGATATTCAAAGCCATAATAGCCATTTGACAACGCTCCAGCCAACGCCAAAGACGCGCTTCACCGATCCAACAAGCACAACGGTAAGCCACAGGCACCACATGAGACCGACGAGCGCCCACTCTACCAGCATCCAGCCAAGGCCTCGCATCCATCTCATTCGGCGCTTCCGTGCTCTGATCATGCGGTCAATCTCGTCGGTAATTTGCTTGACTTGGAGTGATCCCTGGCCGGATACTTCGCTCGTGACATGCACAGCTTTGTCGCCGCCTTCCAAGATACGAGGCATAAGATCTGAATCCACAGTCGATTGCAAGGTAGATATTTGTCTCGTCAGCTGCTGAATAGCCTTGTTACGGAAGCTTTCGAGAGTTGATTGCAAAGCTTTAGTAGAAGCCTCGAGGTCTTTGACTAATATGCGTGCAGCCAAAACATGTTCTTGCTTGCGCGGAACGGGATACAGTTTCGTGTTTGTCAAAGCAGCTGCACGTACGAGGAAGTAAGAAGGTGGGTTTCGTGCAGTGTGGGCGCGGCGTACGATTTCGTTCGCTTTGACACCAGAGCAGACGAACAACGCGCGAACACGAACAATGTCTGCTTGTGTGATGATGTCTGCACTAGTCTTACGGTCAACGGCTTGATCATCGCTGTCGGCAATGCTCCAATGTCTTCCGTTCATTCCTGGTCTCGAACCACTGGCTTTCCTGTCTTGCACATTCCTCAGGCCAGCAGCAGGCAGGCCGCCTGTATCACTATGATTGGCAAGTGATTCTTCAAGTCGTTCTTGACTGTTGTTTGGGCCGAGAGTGACAGAGCCCTGAGAAGAACGATCGGATATGGTACTTAAATCCATACGTGGGGGCAGAAGTCGATCAATGCGAGGGGAACGGCTACCCTTCCGGTCTCGAGTCTGACGCGAAATGTGATGTTCTTCATCGGAATCTTCATTGTCAAAGGCGTGAACAGGGCGGAAAGATGGGAGGTCGAGACGGCTACGGTCCTTTTGAAAAGAAACTCTGCTGCCCTCTGTGCCTCCTGTATTTGTACGGGCTATCGATGGTCGTTTGCTCTGTTTGGCTCGAGTAGAGCCATTGTCATCGTCGAACTCTACCGAGTTGCTGTCAGACATGGTTTCCGAATCCGAATCGTCCGCTCGATCACGTCTAAAGATGATATCCCCAACTTTTGTGCCTTCATGCTTGACGCCCTTGAAGAATCGTGTAACAGCAGACTGTGGTTCCTGGGCCTCTCTGCGACGTAGTTTATCTGGGCTGGGCAAACTGTTGACACTGTCGTTCTTCCGATGGCCGAGGAGGTTCATTACAGCACCTGGCGCGGCCAGTATCGCTGTTCCAATATGTTTGTCGTCCGCAATCTCGCCACTATTTTGATGAGATTTCCCCTTCCTGTCTGTGCCAGAAGAGCCTGGTCGTCCCTCATGCTGGCTTTCCTCGCTGTGGTCATGCGAGTGGAAAATGCTGTTGAACTTGTGTCGCTTAGGTTTTCTCGTCTGTGAATTGGATCGGCTTTGTGGTGGCGAAGCTTCGCTGCCAATATATGGGAATCGTTTGGTAAGGGGTGTGTTTGGAGCAGTACTGTCTTGCTGCTCATGTGAAGATCGTGGCTCGGCATCGTCGCTAGACAAATTCAGAGGTTTGCGTGGCGTAGGCGAAATCTTGAAATTGCTGTGGTCCTTGAGATACGAGAAACCATTTGAAAACCGCGGAACATCTAGTGAGTCACGAGTAGGCTTGTCATCCATCACGACGTCTCCGTTACGACCCCACTTGTCAGGTGTGTTGGGCGACATGGTTAATGGTGACTTGGCTTGGAACTCCTTGGCCTGCTGCTCCAAAAGCAGAGCAAGCGGTCCGGTGTTGTGTTCCGGGTCTGTAGCCACACGGATCTTGCGCCTCTTTGTGTCAGACTCTGACCCAGAGCTATCAGGCTCGTCATGGTTCCGTAACCTTGAACCTCTTCTGGAGTGCTTCCCGCCCCTGGGGCTATCTGTGCGAAGCGCTGGAAGCAATCTTCTCTTACGTCCGCGCTCACTTGCTTTATCACTCTCATCACCCGTTGTATGATCAAGTGCGATGGCAGGCAATGCATCAGCCCAGCTCTTTCCTCGCTTGTCACCAAGTTCTTTGCTAGTACGCACTTGGAGGGAATCTCTAGGTTGTGCCTCCTTGGGCGGAAATAGTTTTTGGCCACGCCGGTTTTCCACAAGTGTCTTGTTGTCGCCCTGCTCTAGCCAGTACGCATCCGCAAGAAGTTCTTCTGGGGTGAAGAACCAGCCTTTGTGCGGCCTTGGGGGCTTACTGGGTGGAGCGGTGATTTCATGGTCTTGATGGATATTGGGCAAATGTACGGCATCATTTCGACGGTATCCAACACGTTTGGCATGCTGCTCAATCTGGTCAACCCAATCGCGCACCTGCTGAACGTCCTCGAACTCTTCTGGGGGGTGTTCCAGAACTACACGCTCGCGAGCTCTGATACGGCGATTACGGATGAACTGTAGGGGGTTATAGGCCCGACCGAGGTCGTGCTGTTTGCCAGCGTGCGACGGAGTACGGGTGAGATGCGCTTGGGTACTGCCTGGGGAGCTGCTTGACGTAAAGATGAAGTTGCCCGGAGCACTGGCGTCGGGCTTTAGAGGTGGGAGGAAATTCAGTAGGCGCAGATACTCCATTTGAAGCTCGATATATGCCTTGGCCTTGTTTACTCGCGCAAGTGTAGAAGCAGATGGATTGATAGACTGTGAGCCTGGAAACGCCATCGAACCGCTCCCCTGCATGGACGTAGACATGTGCCGCGACGGGGAGCCTCTGCCGCCCATTGGGGATATGTTCCTCGAGACTCGTCGTTGCTCGTTGAGATAGTGTCTTAGACTGCCGCCAGCAGCATAGTTGGCAAAGCTACCTTCACGTTGCGACCCCGATGCAGCGCGCGGCTGAGATGCGAGCAGCTGGCCGGTATTGATGTTTCTGCGCCGGCTCTCGCTGAGGTTGAGGGCCATGTGCACGAGGTGGGTGGGATCGATAGCCTGCCGCGCTGGCTCTGGCTCTGTCCGGGGCGAAGGGTCTCTGTCGTGGCTTGCAGACGGCATCTGGTGTACGCTCCGCCTAGTCCTGTCCATGTTTGTGTCGTCGCCGTGGTGTTCTCGAGATGCGCCCAGCACGGAACTTCGCTTGTTGTCGCGTGTTCCCTGGTATCGCGAGCTGCGCTTGCCTTTTGAGTCGTCGCCATGAGCATCGCGATGGCCATGGCGCTGTCGAGGGCCGCTAGGAAAGGTCGAGTCGAGGAGAAAGCCGCCACTTCGTCGTGGGCGCTGCTTGCGCTGAGCAGAGTCGTCGTTGTCGCCGCTCATCATGGCTATTCCCAGGCCATGGGGGGCATCATTGCTGGGTCGTGAATCCTGGCTCCGCCGTGGCGAAGAGCTCCCCTCGCCATTGTCGGTATTCGTGCCCGCGTTGCTGGCAATGTAAGTGTTTGACGAAGCCGTCCAGCGGTCCGAGTCTCCAGAAGGACGGCCATGGCTAGAAGGCGCCGACATGTCGTGGGGTTACGGCTTCGGCTTCGGTTGGGTCACCTGGGGCGGCCAGGGGGCGAGCGCATGGCGATGACGACGGCTGCGCGGCGCAGAGACGGCTCGTGTGGTGCTTGTTTGGCGGGCAGTCGAGATGGGCGACTGGAGATGCACTTGTAAATCCTACGCAGCAAGTGGAGCGCGCACCATGTCACACGTGGGGTGGGTTGGGACGACGCAATCCTTGTGGCCGACGACGACAACGTCCTGTCCTGTAATTAGGCTGGAATCCATAGTACCCGTACCGTCGCTTGTTGCCCCCTGTCGTCCACCCCATCGTCCACAGGTGGGTCCATGGCTGCTCAAGCCCTATTCCACCATGCTTTCTCTTGTCCGGTCCTGCTGTTGTTGAATGGCATCGCGCAAACTTTTGCTGCAATTTGCACTTTCATCCGCCACACGATTGTTGACGTCACCTCATTGCTGCGCTGCTGACTGCAGACCCTAGCACTAGCACATTGCTTCCACTGAAATCAAGCAACAACTCAGACACCCCATCACTTTCGTGTCTCCTGTGTAAGACGAGATCAAGATGCCGGATTGAATGTGTCCTGGCGACCCAGTGTTACGGCATCAACACTGGATACGCCAGCAAATCGATATCAAATGTCCTGTAGCTGCCATGCTTCATCGGTCAATGCCCCAAGTCCTGCATGGGCCATTTGCAACAGAAACCGAGGCAAAGTACTCGTGCCTGCAAGTCAACATTGTTGCAACAGCCCTATGGCTATTGGACGGCACATTTGATTATCAAAAAAATCACCGTCTGCATCAAAGCGTATTGGCCATGTTACATCCATAATGCCTAAATACCTGGGCAAACCCACTCCATCCCATGCTAAGCCTCAAATACAGAGAGAGGGCCATGGGGTCGGTCAAAAGCACGATCAACCTGAAAATACCACAGTGCAGATCAGGTACACCTGATGAAAAAAAAGAACATGCAACTATCTTGCATAGGAGGGTGGTGTGAGGAGCACACCTTTGCGTTCGAGAGCCTTGATCGAGCTTCGACGGGCCTACCCGGTGCTAGTGATTGACAGCCAGGGCCCTCAATGAACCCTTGTGTTTCAATTTCAATCTCCCAACCACAGCAAGCTAGACCCGCCCCCAAGACACTTGTCGCACGCTCAGCTCATGCCTTTGAAGATAAAGAGACTGCTGCACCGCATTCCGGTATCGGTGTAGATCGCCATGATGCATCTCACACGGCGTTGAGGGCTGCTTGGCTCTCGCTTTTGTAACCCGAGAGTAAGACGGAGGCTGAGGCTGAGCAAAAGTACATCTACTGACTGCTTGGGTGAGCCGACAATCGACAGGGCATAATAATACTGAATGGAAATTTGGTGCAGATAAACTTCACATGGACGCAAAAAGAGACCCTTGTCCCCAACCACCCGCTTTCACATGACGGGCAAGTAGCCAAACACAACAGCACCAGGTCTGTAGCGAGGTGTTGAGGCCTTTGCGAGGGCCACGGTTGACTGGCCTTTTTATCGGTGTCGAGTGAGAATCCTTCAGACATGAAACACTGGGTCCGGTCAAGTACCAGCTACAGTAGAGCCTAGCAATTGATAAGCGTCTTCTCGCACCTTTGGCCCGGCTACGGCGTGTGGAGCACGGGGCGGGGAAAAGGCTGACATGTCGCGAGCTGAGCCTGTCAGGGTCGCACTGCGAAGGCGCCTGAGGATTGTCAGATGAATGTCGCTGGTAAGTAAGTAGTGCTGGGCCGAGGAGGAGCAGAGGCTAAGAAGGTTTCGATGGGAGCAACCGTTTGCAAAGACACGATCGATGCCCCGCGATCAGCGTTGTCTGGTAGGGAGCCAATATGGTACCGCATGCTTGGGTGGGTGGTGTGGTGTGCTATGGGTCGAGACGGTGAAATAAGGTTTCGTGGCAGGTGGACGTCAGCCTCGGATCAACTAGCCAACCGGTCTTACCTGTACGCCCATTTCCCATTCTTCGTAACCAAGTCCAGGCTGAGGGCGAAGGAGCCAGGCGCATGCGAGGCGGGAGATCAATGGGCGGGCTAGCCCATCAGCCTTGTCTTCGTATACCCAGATTACGCTCCACCAAGACGGCTGTCTGTCTCATCAGCCATGGCTGTAAGCCCTGGCAGCACGCGGCCAGCACAACAGGCGGCGCCCCAGAGGGCCACGCAAGCGTGAGGTTGCAGGGACGAGGTGCGTCGCGGGCGTGCAGGCCAGTGTTTTCCCAGCTGGAGTGGAGGCTTGGTGATGGACGCATTGGATCGTGGATCGGCACGTCTGCGTAAAACAAACCAGACCCCTCCGGCCGCTGATTCGCCGCTGCCCCCGGCTCCGCTTAGGCTGGCAGAGAGGCGGACTGTTCCACTACTCGGACGCGGCAAGGCTGAAGAGTAAACGGGCGAGTCAAAACAGGGCCGGGTGCTGATGGTCGCCATGTCAGAAGCAGCACCCCCTCCAAGGGCGCAGTGCCGTCACAGTGACAGTGCGCCTGGTGCCGGAGGGGGGTGTTGGGACGGCTGCGGCTACCATGCCATTGTACCGTGGCAGGAGGGTGTTTGGCTGCACCATGTGTGTAGAGGACGTCCTGTAGCTGGTCTTGCGTGTCTCGTGAAATTCGGCGTATGGCCCAGGAGCGCATCCAAATAGGAAAAGCATGACCGAGCTTGCGACCACAGCCAGCCGGCCCTCTGTCCTCTGCCCCGGTAAGCAAGCAAGCAAGCAAGCAAGCCCGCAAGCCCGCAAGCCCGCAAGCCCGCAGCCCTCTGCGACTCCTGGACTCGCCGTTCGCTGCGATACCCGGCATGATCCGAGCAAGGTTTGGACGGCATTCATCGTTTCTTTTTTTATTATCTCGACCGGCTGGCCTGGAAACCGGTCGAGCTGTACGCGGCAGGCCGGGTTGATTCGCCCTCTACCAAGGCATGTCGTTCAACCTGAAGGCCATGTCCAATAAGCACCCGGCTCGCCAGCTTGCCGCTTATGGCGTGGCTTGCAGCTCAAGGTTCACCCACTCATGAAGGGAAACGAGGCTGACTGCGCCATTCCAGCCTTGTGCGCGCACTCCGCTGGGCCCAGCAAAAATCGGGATATCTTGTTGCCTGGCCCCCGCGCTGTCCAAGGCCGTCTTGGAGGCACGTCGCGAGCACCCCAGCTGTTCACTTGACACTGCAGACTGCCTAATCCTGTCCGATTTAGCTGCCGTTAGACCTACGGCGCCCGCCCCACCAAGCATTCCAGCCCAGCTCCGACTTCCTTGCTCGCTTTTGGGACGGAACAAGACGGTTCCGCAGTCTCCCAGCCGTCTGAATCCCCTAGCATATCATCATCAACAACAAAGTATATGCCGCCATCAAGATCCAGGGCAAGAATGAAAGCAGGAGCGCCGCCAAAGACTCCCACCACTACAACCACTACCAGCGCTAGCGAAGCAGTAGAGCCGTCTCCAGTTTCAAGGGAAACCGTCGTGACAGCTCCTGCTGTTGACACGACCCCCAACACCTCTCCTGCATTTGGACCCAGCTCAAAGACGCCGTCTCGCAGAGTATTGCGACTCAAGTGCCCGGTATGCTCCGACTATCCCGACGGCTTCCGCAGCGAGCATGAGCTGCGGCGCCATACCAACCGCGTCCATAAGAAGGTGCGCAAGGTCTGGGTCACCATTGACACTTCGCCGGATAAGTCATTCCTCGCAAACTGCAAAGCCTGCCAGACCGGGAAACGATATAATGAATGCTACAACGCTGCAAGCCACCTCCGGCGCATGCATTTCCATCCCCATAAACGTGGCGAGAGAAAAATGACGGCAGCAGAAGCTCGACGTGGCGGTAAGCCTGGCGACTTGGACCCTCCCATGGACGTGCTAAAAGCAAATTGGTTACGAGAGGTGGACGAGGTGCTGGACGATGGAAATGAGCAGACCGAGGAGGACGCTCCTAATGCATCCTTGTCGCCGCCCCAGATGGTGTCGCCGCAATCACAACAACAGTCGGTGTCCAACAAGTCGGATGGCCAAGCACCACCCACACCAACCACGCCCTCGACCCGATCGATGGCGATAGACAGCATCGTGGACAAGGTGGACGCATCCTGAGCACCAAGTGCTCACACTAGGTGGCGCACTAACCGTAGCATTCAGAGGCGGAGGTCTACGACGGGGAGAGGGCCTTGCCGAGAAGATAACTATCAGGCACGCTCGTTGCAATACGTCTTCTCACCAGGCGTCTCTTGGCAAACGGAGCGGCTACCTTGGTTGAAGAGAAAAGGGAAGAATGCGAGGTCATGTTACTCAGTCGCACTCTGCAACCCACCGGACTAGGCCAAGAGACTTTGGGTTGTTTGTCGGATCGGTGCTCAAGTCGCTCCTCTGCGAAAAGTGTTTTGATGTTCAAGGCGTCGAGGTGTTGCAAGGGACGACTAAGTATAGGGAGCATGTCGGGACGGACCAGGCCTCCCAGTCAAGGCATCCAATGGCGTTTATGAGTGTAGCCTGAAGCTGCGAGTTCGTGTGTTCTAAGACAGGGCCCTGAATGTGAAAATGTTAGTCTTTACGTATGTTTGCGTCATGCACGTGGTGGTAGTGGCGACAAGAGCGCCGTATCATTCAAGTTGGCGATGAAAAGGCTGGCAAGGGCGAAAGCTGTCATTTGTGCAGGTAATCCAGACCTTGGAAGAAAGGTGCACAAGGTTCGTCTGGTCCAGAGGACAGATGATGTGAAGTGCAATTAAGACGTAAGTATGTCGATCAACGAAGGGGTAGTGGCGGGTTCAGTATTGCCGTCCGTCAAATGGGCTCGTGCGCAACAATTTGTCTGCTGCACTGTCGGCCAGGATGTGCTGCCTCGCTGTTCCATAGCCCTACACATCCAATATCAGCAGACTGCAATGGCCCTGCCGCCTACGAATCACACACGCTATACGGGCCCTTCTTGCTGCAAGGAAAGCGCGTGCCGTCTGCGGTAGATAATACCGTAGATTAACAGGTAGCGTGCGGCGTGGGGAGGGGCGCATGCAAGCAAGCGATGGCCTTCCGACGAGCATACCGTAACTATGTCAACCTGGGCAAACTGTACAGCATTCCGCCTTGGGGCATCGTACCACCCTATGGTCTAATCAGGCCACAAAGTAACTCTGTAAACCTTGGCAATCTGTACTTGCGCGGCCAGTCTAAGCATCCTGCGGGCTGGGCCTACTTTGAAGATGGCTCTGTCTTCATCCTGCCCTTTGGATGGTGCGCCCACGACGCCTTCGAGTCGCGTATGAGAATTGCTGCGCACTTTATCAATGGCCCTACGCCAAGGATGCAGCAGATACGGGCCAAGAATCCGCATATGAAGCGTGTCGTCGTCATCAAGTAAGTCGGGTGGGCGCGGCTGTGTTTTTTTTCTTACAAGGCGAATGCGCTGACTGGGGCCCTTTAGCAAGGACGGCAGACACATACGCAATAATACGCTTCGTATCCTAGCCCGCAATGCCCAAGACGGACAAAGAGTGTCTGTCGTTGATCCGCTGTTTGAAAACGTCGAATTAAGCCTTGATCCTACCGGGAGCCACCCAGTTTCGGCCCGCTTCAATGATGCTCCGCAGTTGAGGTACGAATACCGACTACAGAATAGTCAGGCTTTGGAGACCTTTCGAGGCACACTGATTGGGGGTATTCTACAACCTAACGTGCGTCTGGGGAATGGTCTGCACCTATCGAATAAACCTGAGATATTGAAACCGCAAATAACTGCGAAGAGGCGGGCGCGGAATCAGGAAGCCAGAAGACTTAATGAAAGAGAGCATCTGTCATCGAATTTACCCGTGAAGCAACCGCATCAGTTAAACATGCCGTTTTCGAGAGAGCGAACACCACCCGAGCGCCTGGGGAGGTCGACGCCCCCACTACGAAAGAGTCCCCGAGATCTCGACCTTGAACGTCGAGAAGCTCAAATAGCAAAGAGAGAGCAGGAACTCATACAGTTGCAGCAGCAGTTACTTCAGACCATGCAAGCTCAAAGTATCAAATCAAACCAAGAGAAAATACATGGAAAGCAAACACACGACTCACCCGACCCCGAGACCGAAACAAAACTCGCAGCCATCGAAGCAAGAGAACGAGCACTTGAGCAAAAGGAAGAGCTCCTACGCTACAAACGCAAGACCTGGCTTCTAGAGCAAAAACTCGCACAAGTCACAGCTCGTTCTCCGCCTCGTCATAGGCTTCGTGAAACCGAGGCGTCCGCGCAAGAGCGTGATGGAGATGTCTCATCCAACACTGAAATGGAGCAAGAAGCTAGTTTGGAATCGGGATTTAACGGTACGAATCAAGGTCGCCCTAGGGGTTATAGTCTTGATGATACGACGCCGCCGGAGGCTCTTGAGAGATTGAGATCGAGTATCCAATTGCCTACCAGGAGGATGATGAGGATCGGTAGGGAGACTCGACGGCGGTGAGCTCTATCAAGTCTCACATCTCAAAAAAGACCACAGTCTCTGCCACTTTCAAGAGTAAAGTCTTGCAACGAAAGTCACATCATCTTCTCACAACTGCGTCAAACCTTTGAAATTCCTCAAAAAAGCCAACTCACTTTGTTGGATGGCTTGATAGACACAAGGAGAAAGAATATTCAAGAGAGCTGAGGAATGCATCTAGGTTAGCTATTTGGATCTTTTGTAAATAGTACTGTATTATGAATGTCTCGACTCTCACATAGCGATACCCTGTAAATACATATGTAACAGCATCAAGATAGATTCGTCTCCTTCTTACATGCGCGGGTTCACCACATATTATTGCCATCTCCTCTTCAATTCCAGATCATACATACTATGTAACACACATATCGCACACTTGTACTCCGACCCAGCCATCCTCACTCCTTTCCCTCTTTTCCCACAAAAACCACCGTAAACACACACCCCTCGATCCCTTCCAACCAGAAAAAAAAACCCCCACAACAACCCTCATTCCCAATGCCAACTCCAGCCCTCCCCCTTTTCACACTCATCTGACTAATTACCCGCTTACACCGATATACCCCATTTATACTCTCTCTCACCCCATCTCATCGCGATCTCGACCGCAGCCACACGCACACACACACGCCACTTTCCCCCCCCCTTCTCTTCCGCCGCCGCCGCCCCCCCGGTCCTCTAACCAGAAAAGCAATAAAAGACTAAAAAGAGAAAAGAGAGCAAAACGCAGTGGCAAATGAGACACTGAAAAAGAAAGAAAAATGCACGCAAATAGAGGGCGGTTTCTAAAAGAAGGGGGAGACGACATTTGGTTTCACCGATTTGTAAAATACACACTCGCTTTTGTTTCACGGTATTTTTTGTTTTCTTTACTTGGGGGTTGCTTGACTACTTGGTAAAGGAAATTTTGGCTTTGAAGGGTGGGGGGGACTTTTGATGTCTTTTTTTTTGAAAATAATTGTACGCTGGGTTTAATTGAGAATGTATCTATATATATATATATATATATGTGGGTGTGTTTATGATTTTTGTGTGTGTGCGAAAAGAGTTTAGAAGAAAGAAGAAGGATGGTTGCGAACGACTAGATCGGTCGATTGCGCAATGGAAAAAGGGTACCGGATTTGCTTTTGTCCTTTCCATCGGTAGTGTAAAAGGCGAGGTGGGGGAAGATATCCTGTAGCTTTATTACAAGATGTGAATTTTCTATCTTTACACAAAAATTCTCTTCTCTGCACCCCTTTACCTTACTTTCCTCCGGTATCTTGGTGGGTGTGACGAGATACGAATAACAACGGTTGGGGCGTTGGAGGGGTGGGAAACGGGGGTTGGGGTCGAAGAAAGAGATTTTTTTTTAAAAAAAAACCAGAAATTGAACAATAATACTAACAAGGGACGTTAAGTAGTAGTAATAGTATTAGGAGCGAAATATTGTCCACGTTATTTTTCTTTTCTCACACTTCCCAACTTGGTAACTTTTCTCCGTTCATGTCGATTACCGTCCGCGGAAGCAGACACATGTACACATGAACACCGCGGAACTGGAAGCGCAACATGCAACATTTCCTCACTTTACCTGACTCGTTCCTCCTTTATTTCCTCCTGGACTAGCCCTCCTCACTTTTTCTATCGCTTGATCCCCACATTAAAAAAATTTCCGCGGAATATGCGCACGTAGATGCCTCATGTGTGTGTGTGTGGTTCTACGGATAGTTTTTCCCTGTTCGGTTCATTACAGGTCACTCCCCCCCTTTTTTCGCATTGTGGACTGGGGAGTTGCCCCATGGGGCAATGGAGGCGACGAGTATAGAGTTGGTGATGTGCGGTCGGGTGTAAGCTAGGTGATCGGTGGTCGTATTACTAGTTGGTGTTTGGTCGGGAGTCGGTAGTCGTCGGTGGTCGGTGATGTTTGTCGGTGTTACTCGGTGGTAACTTTTCTGTAGGCTGGGCGATCGGTGACAGTAGGGAGCGTTTGTCGGTGAAGTGATGTGTGTTCGGTCGGTGGGTGTTCGGTGGGATTTCGTGTAAGTTTTGGCGATCGGTGGTGGCAGCGCGGTATACGGGAGGTTAGGGCGTGGGAACTCGGGGGTGGGGCGGGGAGGTCGCGGGAATAGTAGGGCTGTACGTAGGGATCGACTGTGCGTGAGATTCTAGACATGCACGATGCCGATTCCACGTGCGTGTGTTTTTTTGCCTTTGCGGGGGTTGTAGGCGGTGAGGGAATGCGATGTGTTGGCCCCTTTCTTTTGATGATGGGTTGATTTTTGGCTTTTTTGAAGGGCTGTTGTTTAAGTATAGTACTCAGATTTCAAAGAGATCGAGTTTGAAATATTCATGTGTATATTTGAACAAAAGTATTTAGATTCTATGGTACATGGGGTTTTCTGCCTCTTGGAAGATATTGTATACGGTATAGGTGTTTGCTTGGAAAGGGAACATGAAACAGAGAAATAAACAAAGTACGTGAGTAAATAGAATCTACGCCAGTACATCACTGGACGCAAGCAAACACTCGCCAAAAACTTTTTGGTATACCAGATGACCTCCTTTGAACATTTCAAATTCGTACCAATATCGTCATGGGTGGATATGGACGTCGTTCCATTGTTTCGGCGGCGTGCATCCCATTTCCAGTTCTCTGTCGATTACAGGCTCCACTTGCACACTGGTTTCCGTCATGATGTTTATTCCATTTGCTTGTTGCAGTGGCTTCATGATGGAATCTTGCGATCCTGTTCGCGTGACATTCTCGTCATCGTAGTCGGTGGCATCGTGGCGTGATCGCGTCATGTAGCTGCGTGTGCAGTGGTGCTCGACTATGCGAGATAGCCTGCGGTTCCCACCTGTGATTGTGATGGTGCATGAGGTGGCGGGGGGCTCCTTGGAATTCATAGACTGGAGACCGTAGCGCTCGGTATCGCCCGGGCGCACGTTGTTCGTAAGTGTTATAGTGGCGGTCCTATTGTATTGGCCAGTGCTCAAGTCTCCAGATACCAACACTCGTCTGGTTAGGGCGTACAAAAGTGCATCAATCCACCCGCAGGATGTGAGGAGGCAGCCCGAGACGACGAAGAAGAGGTCTGGCATAGGCTGACCCGTCATGGCGACCATACGCCCTACAGCAATGGGCAGAGTTAAGATGACGTAGACGGCGGGATACATGACCATAAACTTTGTTGCTCGTGATAGCTTGCGGGTGTCGTTTGCCATGATGCTCTGGATGCGGCCACGTAGATGGAAAAACAGGTGTGCGTAGATGATGATGGTGCCAAACTCGACAATGAAGATCCAAAGATAATGTAGCCAGAGGCGTTCGTCTTGAAATTCGTGTGACACCCAACACTGTTGCCAGTCAGTTTCACAATTCCCAAGTCTATGGCCCAAACAAAACGTACCCATCCTGCAGCGCGAGCAAAGTATCGGTCTTGGTGCATTGCTGGTCCCAGCATTGTGAGAAACAGTGCAAAGGACCAAATCAACAAAATCGATATGACAAACCACTTGAACGGCATTTTGTATCCTTTGACCACACCTAGCCAGGTGTGAATAGCAATGGCAAGGACGAAAAAGCCACTCGAAACATCACCGATGTGGAGGAACCAGCCCTGGACGAAGCACGCCCTAGTAGGAGCGACAATCTTGTTAAGCCTTAACCAATGGAAGGATATGGCAAAGGCAGTCGATTGCTGAAGATCCGCAAGAAGTAGGTTATAGATGAGAATGACATATTGGTTGTATCCGACATACTGCCTGTAGTGTTTTCGCCAAGACACCATTCGCTGGGTGATGAATGCAAGTAGGGTAGTTACTGATACCAAGCTCATCATGGCGAATACGGCTATAGGAATCAAGCCAGCTTTGTAGACAGGCGTGAGTGGGTCTGAGGCGGGTATGCAAGGTCAGTGTGATTCGAACGACATGGGCGTGTGTAGTACGTACCCATGTTGTTGGAAATTGAGCTGTCCCGCTGTCTGGACACAAGGAGTGCCGGTTCGGAGAGTGTGTCGGCCATGTTGTCGGATGTTGCGTTCTTGATAAGAATGAATTGGCTCGTAGTGGGGCAGGTAGGTATGCGTTTCTTAGTTTATGCAAGCACCATGGTCGGTAAGTAGACGATTTCCGATTCCTTTGGCAAAACAAGGCAATGTTGTGGCTCGGATGTATCCAGTGAACAGCTTTAGACGTTTCGATCCACGGGTCGTTCCAGGAGTACGGAGGAGGTTCCAGGAGTACGGAGGAGGTTCCAGGAGTACGGAGGAGGTGCCAGGGTCCCTTTAATGAATGTTGCGACGGATGGAGGAGGTTAGACAGTTGATGCCATACGCTGGCGCAAAGGCGGTTCTTAGCGCTAGAGAAACCTTCCGTCAGACTACCCCGGACAATGGGTCAAGGTGGAGGGTGGAAATATCAAATATGGCCCGAAGGCTAGTTGGGTGGAGTCGGGCGCCTTGTTATGACAATGATGGATAGTCGGGAACAAGGGGACCGCCCAATCGACTTCTGAATTGCCGAAACGGACATGCAGGTGGGCCAGCCCTGACATTTAGCACTGGGTCCGCGGGCATTCGATGATCGCCGAAAGTAGCGCAGTACTTACGCTACCTGTGCAGGGGTGAATAGAGCAGAGTTCGCGTTCCTGGGCCACACAGCTGTTAGCGGCCGCTCCTTGTCCATCACCCATTCGCATTGATAATCTAGCGCATGTCCCTTTTTGGGCAGGGGGATGCTTTCCTCAGACGCCAAACTACATTCACCAGTGAGGCGCCATGTGGCCGTGCTCATCGAGAGAGGCTCTGTGCTGCCGTAGAAGCAATGTTGACATGGCGTGAAGCAATGAGCAAGTGGCAGCATGCCAGCCAGGTGGCGCGACGTTGTTGATCCTGCTGCGACCGAGTTTCACGCGACACGGGATAGGGAATGAACAGCAGTCAGATACCACGTGGAGCACGGCCCTGACACAGCTGCACATGGCAGCTGGGATGTTCTTCAAGAGCAGTCAGTCTTGTCTGTGCTGTGCAGAGACTGGGAGCGAATGAGATTGCCAACAGCCATACGACAGTCGTATCGATGTGGCACACGCCCATGGCGCGTAGTTTGTTCTGCAAACTCCATGTTGGTGTTTGATGAGGCGTTGGGACTGTGCCACAGCATGTACGGACCGGTTTCCTTTGAAGCCAACGTCTGGGCGAACGGTACCGCAAGCCTTGGAGGCGTCTCCCTTTTGCCGCGCTCGCTGTGTTTGTGGGGCGACAGGTTGTGGAGGATGTGCCGCCAGGACAGGGGCTTTTACCAACTGTGGTCTAGCGACTGACGGCCTACTAGTAAGGGGAGTGCGCATAAGTACATACTAACGGGTTGGGTTGGTGTTGGGCCATGGAAAAACAATTGTCCACAATGCGAATCGTCGCGGTCCAAACCGACATGTCGACGCACTGATTGCCAGGGGAAGGCATCGGACACATAGATATCCTGGTCCGTTTTCCTGGCACATGCGTGCATGTCGACGTGCCCCGGGATGGATTTGACAGCTGTCTCCCAGGTACCGAAACACTCGCGATGACTCTCCACGAACGACAGCAGGTCCACTTGGCCGACCGCGCCATCCCGAAGGCCAGGCCGCAAGACCGGGCGACATAGAACCAGGGTACATGCGACACAGGCTCGTGTGCAGGTGCTCCAATGCCACAATCAATCTCCAGCCATAAACTACGGCTGTAAGTACGTATCCAGTCGGCACGTGCTGGCAAACCAGCCAATGGATCCATTCAGAGGAACTTCTGCAACTGCCTCAATGGCCCCAGTTTTTACAAAAATGATGATCCATCGATTTCGTATACATAAATCGGCATCTGGCATCGTTCCTCACATTCGGGAGCTGTGGTGCCATCGTCCTGTCGTATTGGAAGCAAGCGATCCGCGGAAAGTGTGACACTGCATAACACCGCACTTGAAATTCGTACGAGATGAGTACATCCCTGCTTGACAATCACATCGTCTTGGCCAACCAGGCCACAGGGTTGGCCTAGAGGCGGGATGTGTTTCCGTAGAGTACATAGTACAGGGCATTGCACCCCAGACTTGGCTTGTCGGAACCAGCATACTGACTCGGGCTATACGAGTATAGTTCGCACAACTCACCCTATGTGCCGTCTTGCACCTACTGGCGGATCCGGACCATCCGAGTGACCAACATGCTCAATCTAAGAAGGGCCGAGACGTTATGTCGCTCGAAAGGAAGGCTCTGGTGAAAAATACTCTTACATACTATTTCACCTCGCCGGCTAATATAGAAGAAACGCCACACGAGCATTTAGAGCCTTAAAGGAGCTAAGTAGTACGCTATTGCTATGAAGATGCGAAGCTAGGACATGTGGAATACGATATAAGACGTAAGCTGTTACGCCTTCTTCTTTTGTGGCCACCAATCATTCTTGCAGTCACGGTTGAAGATCTCTGCTTACAGTCGTTTACAGTTTGTCTGCGACTGCGGACTAAACCTGGGCTTCTTTGGCATATGGAAGCAATTGACAATAGACAAGCGTGAAGAGGAGGCCGAGTGAAGGCAAAGCATACCCCAATGACTTTTGAACAGGCTCAGCTGGATCTGATGCCAACTAGTGACGGCTGTAGTTGCTCGCGACGCCCGACAAACAACCTATGATTAGCCGGTCAGCCAGTCTTTTCCGCCTGCTTATCCTCAGTAACAGGACCGAGGGCCTACATCGGGAGGAGTGTGCAGATGCGAGACGGATGCAAATCTTGTGCCTAATCTCTGTTCTCACGATTCGGAGATAGAGATATACTGTATCCTAATAGCCAAGAGAACTCTCAACGTAAGAAATGTATGATGCTCCTACTCGTATGTTGGTCACAAAGACGGCCTACGCCACATGCTTCATATCCAGCAACGAATCAGCCGGTGGAACTTCAGATGTTCAGTATGCTGCTTGTTGTTTACCGAGCGCCATAGTATTTGTGTACACCAAACTCCAGGCGAAATCCTCCACATAAGCAATCTCTCGCCCAGCCACTATGCGACTTCCAGAATCTAGACCCAGATACATCTGAACCGTTTCAGGGTCTTTCAACAGGCTCGCTAACATATGTGGGGTCCGAGGAGCTGAAGGCTAGTCTGAATGCGTGAGCAGTCCGTGATGGGCGTTGCAAAGCTCCTCCTTGTTTATCGCCAATGTCAAGCCGCGAACAATCTTAAGCAAGGGATAGCCCGATATATGTAGCCTCGATAAACACCTAAAGCGGAACTGCAAGACGGGATCCTTGGCATCATCTCGCCCACAAATCACCAGCTGTTTGTTTGATGTCGCTAGCGAGGCGAGGCGAGATGGTTGGTGTTGAAGTTTGCCATTCTTGTTACTACGTGAAACATCTGTAAAGGATCGCAGAATCACCAACATGGACTGAGGCATTGCCCGCCGTGTGTAGCACAACATGTCGGACAAACGTTGGAGCAACAAGGAAGACGGTCACGGGTTCAGCCCGACGCGGCTCCGGCACGGGAACAGGCGGCGAATCAAGCTAACCGGATGCAGTAGCGTGTTGTTGGGATGTTTGGCCGCCGTGTTGCGTCCCAACACCGGCTTCACTGTATGAGAGCATACCCACCAGCGCACCCCGTCTTCTTAATAATGTATAATCAAACCACCCTATGAGAAGCAGCGCATACGACCAAATTACGCATACCCGAAGAAATGGCGTCAAAGAACGAAGCGCACGCGCGTATCAACAACATCAAAGCCGAACTCCAATCCATCTCGACATGTTCCAACGCCACAGTCAGCGCGCTCCAGGAGATTCTCTCGAAAAAGGAAGACGAGCCACCACAGAAGGAAAATTTAAAGGGCAAGACCCAGACAACTGCGCGGAGGCGAGCAGCGACGGGTGCGGCTGCAGATGTTCAGAAGCAAAAGACATACACAATTGCGCCCAGGGAGAAATACATACTGGCTACCGAAGTCGCCAACAAGACCCTCCAAACACTTGCTGAGGCACTGAAGAGCCCGATACCAGTCATCGCTGCCCGGCTCCCTTCCAAGTCGAAGCCAACACCCACGGAAGATGCTCGCAAGCCAGCACGACCCGGCCAAGCAAAGACCCCGCCACTCTCACAACAACCTCTTCGCGAACGGTCCGCCTCTCAGGTACATAATTCACCTCATAAACGCGCCCCGCGCCGCTCTTCGTCATACTCGTCGTTTCTGTCCCCAGGCCCTGATCCAGGCCTGGTCGCTACGGCTGAGTGCGCAAGGACGGCATTTGCATTCCTGGGTACTCCAGAAGCAACAAAGGTCCTGGGGAAAGACACTAAGGAGCTGCAGTATGAGAATGGCGTGCTTGCGCTCACCGGGAAGCTCGTTGCACACGGCCTAGACAACATGGCCGTCAAAGAGTTAAGAACGCTGAAAAGGAGGTTGGATAGACACATTGGCCGTGATACTGCACAGCAAACTGGCACTGCCGACAAGGAAAGCCTGGCGTCACTCTTGGAATTCGCAGCCATAGACCCTAATAGCCCTATTGTATCACTGGTCACAAGCTTCCAATCATACGCATTGCGTATCATCGCAAAACTAAAACGACCACGAACAATCGAAGCTACCTGGGAATTCCTGAAACCTACCAACCCATCCTCACCTGCGAATCTGCTTTTGAGTACTGCAAAGTCTCCAGCCAGTCAAGCTAAAGCAGCTAGGCAGCTTGAGTCTTTAGCCCAGACTATTCTCTCACTCTGCCCGAGTATCTCGAGCGCGGATGACGCAAACACTCTGCAACCATCTGCAGAGAAAGTATTGCTTCTGCAACATTTGGCCTTCAGTGTGAGAAAGCAGTGGTGGGGCCTCGTCAATCACCAGAGCAATGAGGAACAAGAGCTGTCGGAGCCCTTCGCCAAATGTTTGATTGCCTTTGGCCGGAGATCCCAACTTATCCCTATTAAGAAGTACAAGCTGGCCGAGACTTTGTATACAGATCTTTTAGGATGGTCTGACAGTGCCACTACTTCACCAAATGGCGCTCCCGCCTCGGCCACCGCAAGCAAGACTTTATCCTCATTTGCCCAGGCTGCGGGATTGTCTGACCAGGCTCTTCGATGGTTAGGCTCTTCAACATCCTCCACCACCTCTAAAACTCCCGCCGTGAAGCAAACAGCGAGGACGATACGAATAGCTACCATCACTATAGAGGCTCACGTCAAAGGCGAAAAGAAAACTGATTTGAACGACGTAATTACGAATGCCCTTGATGCCTTGAATGGAAGTCTGGGTGGGTCAGCGGCGGATCTAGAGTCGCTCTTTGCAGAAGTCAATGCCCTGAGACGAGCGGCAACGAAGATCCTTATCGCACGGCTGTCTAAGCCTTCAGACGACGACAAAAAGCTGGCTGTAGCGCAACAGGCTGTGTCTGTTATCGCTGCAAGCATACATTTCTCAGCAAGATTTCTGGGTACTGCATACCCACATGAAGCCGACTCAAAGACACAATGTCAGCACCATGAACGGGTAACTTTGGCCTGGAAATACATGAAGGGTACCATTGACTCGGTCATGGCATGCTGTAAACAATCCATCAAGACTGAGGACGAGTGGAAAGACTATGACATATTGTTACAAGAATGCTCACACGTACTTCGTCGTTTCGAAGAAGAGGTTAAAGAGGGAACTATCTCAGGCGAGAAAATCGAATCTATCATTGGATCATATGTTGTCAAATTATCCAACGGCTACTGGGCTCTCTATATGCAGCTACGGAGGGCCCGCTGCAAGCTCGATACCTTGGTCATGCTTATGCGGCGCTCCATCGACCTTGTACAATCAAGAGACCCAACTGAGCAAGAGAGCGGACTTCTCTCAATGAAGCTTGAGCAACTGGGCGAGACCTTGGAAGATCTGGGCCAAATTGAAAACTCCCGCGACGCTTTTCGACAATGCATACAAAGTCACCTTACTGCAGATATTCTGCGACGGCTTTCCGAAGCTGCAGCAAAATCATCTCTTTCCGCAACATTCAACGATACCGGACCATTTAGTGTAATTGTCAGGCTCCTGAAAGGTTACCATCATTCGTTCCTAAAGTTTGGGATTCGCCAGACGGATGAAGTCGCCTATTTTGACATTGACACAATTCATGCAGACGTCGAAGGGGCTATATTGGAGTTGCAGTTGCACTTTAACTTACGAACGTTGTCGAAAAATCGGAAATGGGACTCGAACCTAGACAAATCAATTCGCAGTCTGATCGAACGACTCCGGGTAGTATACGTGCAGGAAACCTATCCGGTTCGACGATTAAGGGCATCTATCGCTGTTCTTCAGCTTTTACAAAGCGATCCTCAAATCTTGTCCCAGGATAACCAAACTTCTGGCTTTGATTGGGACGAGAGCATAGGAATAGAGCAGTCTCAAGACCAAGCATTGAAGGGGTATCAAGCTCACCTAAAAGCACTTTACGAGCTCAAATCCTCGATGCAGCAATCCTCTCCTCCTACATCAACTCTTCAGCAATGCTTTGCCACGTGGGAGTCTCTCGTCACCTCTGCATCTTCTTGGGATATATTGAGCGATCGAATTGACGACATAGATGTTTGGCTAAAAGATCTTCATGCATGTGTGGAATATCTCAATGCAAAGGGCGAAGAGTACCTGGCATTGCCTCTTCTTCATCTTTTAGTTAACATTCTCGAGCTTCAAAAAAATGACGATGGATCTAAGCTCCTCATCACGCTGTGCGCTTTGGGGCTACAGTTGCTGCGTCTTGGTTACACTGGGAAAGCAGGCCTCTGCCTTGCTAAAGCTGAAGCACTGAGCAAATCCCGGACCTGTTCTGTTGATGCAAGACTGGAGTGGCACATCGCTTACGCAGAATATCTGTTAGGTGTAGGGAATCCAGGGAAATGGTAAAGACAAAACTTCATTCTCTACTTTTCATGTACTAACATACAATAGTTCAGCGATCATGGAAAATGCCCAATCCATTGCGCTTGGAGACTCTCAGTTTTTGGACTTGGCGAAGCCGACAACTACACTCTCCGGCCGGCTGCGGTTCAACAGAATCGTGGCAGATGCTTCCTATGTTCATTCGTTGTTTGCTACTGCTACTGGATCATACAAAGAAGCGGCTCGACATGTGAGGCAGTGCATCACGTTGAACCGGCGTACTTGGGCTGCCCTCGAATCGCGGTCAAACGCCAAGAAGGCCGCGTCTGCAGACGAACTTGAATCCGAAGCAGATGGGTCAAGCCGAACAGGGTTTGACCCGTTGAGCTCTCTCCGTATTGACAAAGGTGTGCCTGTTGTCATGTCTGTCACCCACGGTGCCCTTAGCGGACCTGACTTCTGGGCTTTGGTCCCATCCATGTACCGTGCTTTGATGCAACAATCTCAAATCTTTGCTCACCAAGGGTTGCTGCACGAGGCCATTTATATCGCCGAACAAGCTGAGAAGGTTGCTTCTGCAACACAATCTGCGACACTCATGACTGACAATGCCAGCTGGCGTGCTGACTGTTGGGCCCAGAGCAATAGACCCGATAAGGCTGAGGCTATTCTCAAATCACTGGATGCGCCTACTTCACGCAAATGCTTATCGACTGCCGGTTACTATTCTGCTGTTGCTAGAACACATCACTGGAATGGTCAGTATGAGCAGGAGATAGCGTCGTATAACCTCATGGAGCAGCTTCTGAAAGATTTGAGTTCGCCGACATACGTGAAGACTCTGGAGTCCTTTTCCGCTCCTGTTGATGCACTTACAGATCAGTTGTCATCCCTAACAGTAGATACCACCAAAGTAGCCAAAGTAAAACCGGCAACAAGAGGCCGTAAGCCTGCAGCCAAAGTCGCACCACGGACAACTGCAAAGTCTGCTACCGGTACTCGGCCTAGAGCAGCCACAACACGGGCTGGAAAGACGGCACCAAAACCAACCCGCCAACCTGGTGCTCCGCCAGCGTCAGAGGAATCGACCACTGCTGACCAGTGTGCCGGATTGTATGTCTTCCAAGCGAGCATGAGGGATCGAGCTGTACTTGCGAATATCCTACATGACGATCTCGCTGAAGCCCTGAAGCTTCTTGGTCAAGCTGAAGACCTGCAGAATGGGTTGAACCAGGAAGTGTCGCACATGTGGGCA